GTAAACTTGAGATGCTGCCTCTGGATCAAGAGAACTATATTTTGTCTCATCAAATTTGTTGTCATGCTATGTTGTTTAACTACTGCATCGACGAGGCATCCCTGTTCTCTGAAAGGAGAAATTGTAGTTCTGTCACTGACGTTGGATTATACAAACCTGTTAGTGGTAGTTTGCATGCCAGTACTTGGAGGAAGAGATCGTAGGAAGATGATATCCCGGAAAGATATTGAAGGCTCTCCCGGCTATCCTTGCTAAGAACTTTTAGGATCTTAAAAATATTACTTTAGCACCTCCGGCTGCTGCTGCTCATGGTGGAACAGTTCTAGAAAATCTGCCTGCCTGGAAAATATGAAGAATGTGATAATTTCCTTCTTAGCCAATTTCTTCAGTATTGAAATATTGGTTGATGCAGTGGCCATGGATCGCTACATTACCTGAACCCGATTCTCAGCTATAGGTAGATGATGCGCAACCTCCTTGACCAAATACAAGCTTGAATGTTCAGCCAAACTGATCACTTTGTTCTCGTGCATTTGTGTATATAATGAGAAAGTTCGTTTTCTTTAAATCCCTTTTCTTTGTAATCGAGTTGGGTAATTGAGAGAATTATTACTATATAGCACTGAGGCATAACTTTTCATGTCAAAACTCACAAGGTTGAGTTTCAATTGTATTGATCGACTACCGAGAGAATCATGTTTGTTGATTGACTTCCCCGAGTTTTGCTAAAATTTTTAATATTATTGTTTATTTTACAATATTCACTTTTTAAAGTTCAAGAGAACCATGGAGGTTAAAAACTTACTACCCTTCATAATTTTCATCCACAAAAGTTGTAAGACGTACACATAGTGCCATGAAGGATGGAAAGATCAAAACACAAAATTTAGATGCAAAGTTAAGGCTGAGAATTTCCCTACATGACCAAAGCTACTCCGCTGAAGTCGAGCAGAGTAGCAGCTCAGTTGCAGTACTTTAGCTTTAGCCATGGTCGAATACAAGAATATGCCCATTTGGGCGCCATTGTATTTTTTCTTACCCACAATAACATAATATATGAACTCCCATACAGAATTTAAGGGTTCTTGATGCCAATTCAATAGAGTTTTAATACATACCGGCCCAACTACAAAATGCTACAAGGTTCAAGGATCTTGAGCATATATTCCTGCTAAAGAGAGAGCGAGGGAATGTAGCTAACCAGTTAACCACTAGAGACTAAGCAAGAACTGGACTGGAGGTAACTGTTAGGCTCGAATATTGAATTTTGCTAGCACCTTCCTCGAGCAAGAGTCTACATTCAGCCTATATTCTTCTTGATTCGCGCATTTCAAATCATTAAACACGAGAACCACACAAGCGTAGTAGGTTAATTTCAAGCCTCGAAATTCAAAGAATTCCTGAAATTGGATGGTACAATAGTATGATTAACAGATCTTGCATTCGTTACCGAAAAAAATGGCGTCTACGTCGCTGAAAATGCCGAAGAATAAAGCTTTCTGCATGAAGAGGATAGTTCTTTCTGATCAGACCCTCCATGCACTTCCAATATGAAAAATCAACTAACTCTCCATCTTTTCTGACTATGAATAAGCATCTTGACCTTTCAAAATTCGGATGATATCCAATCTGCCGACCACAACAATATGATTAAGTTGACAGAGACAGAGCTTGTATCCTGTGCTCAATATGATTTCAAAGAAAATGGTTCAAAAATGAAAATGGTTCAAAAATGAAAATGGCATCCCATAAAATCGCTTTTCTAATGGCAAGATATTGGAGTTCAAGTCGAGGTATAACCCTTTTGGCAGCATCACGTATACACAATCTAGTGAAAATACAATGTTTCAACAAATATCAAACCGTTGCCACTTATCAAAGCCCACATTTCTCACTGTGTACATTGAGAATTACTTTGAAGTGTCTTCATATAAATCCCAGGCAAAGTATTTTTACAAAAAAAAAAAAAGAACACAGTCGATATAGATCACGTGTATTAGGAAAAGTAAGTTTTCCCTTCTAATTCATGTTCTGCTCCGTAACAATTTATATCTTTTCAAGTCAAACATTATAGACAAATATGTTAGGATTACAAGCTAAGCTAGTCAAATGTTTCAGGGATGAATCATGACTTGTTGAAGTCAATCTCATCAATAGCGATAATCAAGATGTTTCATCAGGAGCAATTAAAAACTTAATTGTGAACATTTAATTTATTTTCCAGGTTCATGACAAAAGCTTTCATTCATCCAAGGAAACAGAAAAGAGGCTAGAGTATCTCATTAGTAATTTTATTTAATATAAATGCAAATTCTAAAAATAAGATAAAAACAATAGACAAAGAAATATGGAAAGAGATATACCGTGATATAATCAATCCCACATCCAATCTTCTTCTCACACTCGGGATGATATGAAAGCAACCGATCAAGAATTGTTTTCTCGTGCTCTGGGGTCAACCTATCCCCACTTTCATATCTGCGCATGTTGGCTTATAGATGATTAATGAATGGAGATTAAACTCTACCACACCATGCTAGTCAATTCAAGACACAACATATTGTCTTTCAGATAATAGGTGCACCATCGGTGAATTAACAAGATCAAAGCAAACAGTCAAGATATCTCATCCATCCAAGGGAAGAAAAACAGCTATAAAACGTTCAAATTTTGTCGGTAAGGAGATACTAAATGATAACAACTTGAAACTTTCACTGAAAGATAACAATACACATGTTACGAACACTTGATCGTTGAAATATGAGAAAACAGAAATAAGATACGTTAACTATTGACTTATTCATGGGCTAAGGACCATAGGTTGAGTGTGTACGGTTGCAAGAGCCTTTTTTTCATCAATTTATTAGATTCGAAGTCTTTTAAGTGCGTCAAGTTATAACTAAATTTGATCAAATGGAATAAAAGATCAATGAACTTTGAAGAGATCAATTGACAGAGAACTCGTAATTGTTGTTCTTGCTTGCTATGGAAATTGATGAACGTTCCGTAAAGTTCTAAAATTTCAATCTCAAATTATTTAGTTCCGTTCATCTTTGAGCACACGCTTTCATTTGAGCAATAACAATCTCAAAATTCACTTAATAACATGGTTGCATGGTTTCTAGTTGCCTGGAAGCTCAAATTCAGTTAAAAAGCCGATAAACAAACGAATGGTTGCTTACTTTCCAGAGTGAAGAACCATCCTAACAAAGCCAACTAGAGGAACAGTCTCCTCCAGAATCCTGTCCTCCCAGTCAACCCATTCCTCTTCCTCCTCGTCTCCGTTTCCACTCTCCTCACTGCTGCTGTAATCCTCCGATGGTGTAGCCAGGTCCATCGCCGGCGGAACAACCGGTTTTCGCAGCAAATCGGAACTATATTCTTCGTGGCTTCGAATCCTACTGCCTTCAGGGCCAGTTTTTAGGGCACGAATGGATGGGTGAAACGACGTCATGGGGTGCGTACGAAAACATACGATCACTGGTGAAGCGTTGAGGAGGTTTGGATTTAGGGAGTGAAGGGGCACAAGAGGCGGTGGCTTCAAAATGGAGGCCATAGCCAGGACCATGCCCTCGTTCAATTGAATCAAGGAGCTCAAATTTGCAACTACTGAGGTTTTTCACCCAATTCCCTGAGAAAACGGAGGAAAAATAACTGTTAATGGTGACTCACATTATCATCAATCTCATGGTTTTGGAGATTCTACAATATTTCTCTTCAATCCGCATTCTTTGCCCTGGCGGGTAGCTGAAAGACAACCCCTTCCACTTCACCTTGGAGGCAAACTTAATGGGCCTTTGCACCTAAGCCCAATTTTTCGCTTTGGGCCTCTAGCTTCTTTATTGGAGGCACACTTAATGGGCCTTTGCACTAAGCCCAATATCTCGTGTTGGGCCTCTTAGCTTCTTTATTGGATGCAAATTTAATGGGCATTTGCACCTAAGCCCAATTTTTCGTTCTGGGCCTCTATCTTCTTTATTGGGCTCTTACGTACTAAAGTCCAATTGGTGGAGAATCTCATCCCAACGCCAGAAATTTTTTTTTTTTTTTATATACAAAAAAAAAAAAAAAAGTTCCCATATTTTTCATCATTGAATTGAATGCATAAAATATCGACAAATTATTATAAGACAACAATAATTAAAATGGATTATGTTTAACACATATTTTGATCCCACTTACCGCTCTAAAAAAGAATTTTGCTTGGGACATTAATTTTATAACGTTTTAGTATTTGACCCAAATAAGTTCACGTGAAAATTATTGGTTATAGAAAATAAATCCACGAATCAACCCAACTACTACTTTTTAATTAATACTGTTATTACTTTAACGAAATATTATTTTTATTTTTAATTAATATTGTTTTCGAGGATGGGCCAGTCAATCTTAACATCATTGATAAGAAGCGGATAATTTACTTGAAATTTGAAATTTCAAAAGTAACCCGAATGAAATTTAAAAATAGTTTTATCTTGAAATTATGTTAAAATTATAATTTTTTTTTCTTTTTAATAAAATTACAAATGGGTTGCAATCTATTTTCATTTTTAAAATGGTGTTTAAAAAATGAAAATAAAACTCTACATTAAATTAGATATTTAAATTTTGTTTTATAAGAATATTGATGTACAAAGATATTTATTTGACAGTTACAGGCCTAAAATTTGGGATTTTTCTAGAGAAATGAAAAAGAAGCGCGAAATAAAAGAGTCAGCCGGCTTCGGCTGTTGACAGTTTAAAAGGCGCCGCCACCGAAATAGAACATTGTAATGAAAAGGCCAAAGATATTTCAGTTGGTCCAGATAATATCTGCCCGATTTCTCAACGTCATTCAACACTTTGTTGACGTGGCAGATGTAGGCCTATTGCCACGTGTAAAGCCATGACAACTGTGAAGGTTCTTCTGCCCCAAACACCGCCTCTCTCCCTCCCCTCTTCAATATCTCTCCACTGGCCCGCTTCCATCTCTCTTCTCTCTCTCTCTCTCTCTCTCTCTCTCTCTCTCTCTCTGTCGCCATTACAAATCTGGAGAGATTATCATTCATCCTCTTGAGCATTCATGGAGTTGTTGCCTCCAAATTTGGAGAATCACAACGCCGTAGAAACTCGGACCGACTCACTCATCTCTGAATTGGCCAAGGACGAGTCGACCGAGTTTGCCCTCCCGGTGGAATCTTCTAGCCTGGTACTTACCCTACTTTCTTCCTCTTATCTTCGTTTTAGATGTTCTTGTTGTTCCAATTAGGTTTTGCTTCTGTAATGTTTGGTATCTTCAATTTCATGCTCTGTGACCGTGACTGCATTGTTTCTCTATTTTCGTGTTAAAACTTAAAAGATACGAAATAAAAATAGAAAGTAAGAGGACGTGGAAGAAGACAGCGATGGTTTTGCACTTCCCTCTCGTGACTGGAGGATCTTTATTTTATATTTTGTTTGGCTCTGTTCGGATCGATATCGTTCTTTGTCAATGGAATTTGTAGGGCTGTGCAAGGGGCTTGGATCTGTGGCCAATGATTCTGGAAACTCAGCACGAGTTCTGATTGTTCAACATTATCATTTCAAATTAAGATGACTAATCGTATTGTTTATCAGTTATTTATTAAGATAGACCATGAATGAATGGTTGTAAGAGGAGTTCGACTAATTAAGGGGTCGATCATGAGTTTATAAGTAAGAAATACGTATCCATTGGTACGAGGCCTTTTGAAAACCAAAATCAAAATCATGAGAGCTTATGCTCAAAGTGGACAATATCATACCATTGTGGGAGTTCGTGGTTCCTAACGTGATATTAGAGTCGTGTCTTTAACTTAACTATGTCAATTGAATCCTCAAATGTCGAGCAAAGAAGTTATGAGGTTCGAATGCGTAGTCAAAAGTGACTCAAGTGTCAAACAAAGAGTGTACTTTGTTTGAGGACTCGAGAGAAGGAGTTGAACATCGATTACGGAGAGGCTGTTCGAGGGCTCTATAGGCCTCAGGAGAGGCTCTATGATATACTTAGTTTGATGGGAGGATTGTTGAAGATTGTTGGAAGAGGAGTCTCACATCGACTAATTAAGGGGTTGATCATGAGTTTATAAGTAAAGAATATATCTCTATTGGTACGAGACACTTTTTGGAAAACCAAAAGCAAAGTCAAAGTCACGAGAGCTTATGCTCAAAGTGGACAATATATTATTATTGTGGGGTTCGTGGTTCCTAACAGAACTTGCCATGAAAATTACCGATAATGCGATTTCGTTTCAGGGCACTCATATGACGGATTCTGTACCTTCTGATTGGACCGATGAGAAGCACCATTTATTCCTTGAATCCATGGAGACATCTTTTGTCAGCCAAATGTTTGATTCTGTGCATTCAGTTGGTTCCTGCCCCCGCAAGGAAAATTCTTCACACACAAAATTGCACGGCCAAAGCCAATCCGCCTCTCATGTCCATTCACATTTTGGCCAGGTTCAATGCCGATTGATCTTTGTAGATGAGTTATAACTCTCTTCTGATAATGGCTTATAAATTCTCTTTTTATTCTTTTCGTTGCTTCTATCTATGCAGTTTAAAGTTCTTCGACGAGGCAGCTGGAAGAACATTAATTTTGAAACAACTGAATCTCGGTCGAATTTATTGAATGATTTCCAAGCTCTCTCACGTAATCCTTGGATACATCACTTTCGAGCTGATCGTAAAAACAAAAATGTTGCATGCAAAAGTCAAGCTATCGGTTCAGGAGGAAGGAATTTGTTTCCTTTGGGGGCAGCAAATGATTCAGAACCTTTGCGTGCTTGTGATTCTGATTTGTCCCTACAATATATCAGCAGCAATGAAGGTATAATCTTTGTGTCTTCGACGTAATAAATGATTAATTATCAATATTTGATTGATAGATTTGGCCTCTCCTAGGTTGTAATTTAGTTTATCAAGTTTAAGTTCGCTAGTTAGTGATTCTACGTTCGATTATGATTTTAAATGTAAATTGTACATAAATCATCATTTCCCTGGTGCAAGACTGAACTATTTTAGATGATAAAGACTGTTTTGATTTGAATCTGCACAAATGATTTTCATGTTGCAGAAGTGTCAGATCAGAATTTTGTTGATGAAGATAGAGAAGTTGGAAACGGGAGCAGTGATTGCAGCAATGCCAAAAGGGTCAACACTCCAGAGACCAATGCCTTGATCAATGAACAGGTAATTCATATGATATCAACTTAACCACCATCTCTTGCTCCAGAATGATGACCTCTGATTTCTTTTAGGTTGTTTCCTAAGTTCCATGAAAATGAGATTATGATTTTTAACAAAAATCCTATTACAGCCAGAAGATAGCTAGATCCCAGATTGTCGCCAATACGAGGCAGACGACTTATCGACTACTCTTCTAACTCCGGGAAAGGCTATAGATGATCTGAGATTGTTGGTGAAGTCTATAATGCTCATTTTGAGGTTATTGGTTTCTGTTGATTAACGTAAGTTCTAATACCTCTGGATGTCTGCAGTTAGTAGTGATTAGTAAATCAGCAATTATGGTTTTGCCTGGGTAGATGTGTTTGGCATTATCATTCAGTATATGTAAATATATATTCGTTTTGGTACAACAAGATTCTGCAACATTTGTTCCAAGTCTTGCTCTCCAATCGTTCATAAGTTGTTTTTATGAACAATATTTCTATACCATTGATTCTTTGTCGATTGAAATAGATGTTCATCCACATCATTTCGCTTCTTTTGCGTTGTCCATTGAATAAAGATAACCATATATTTTCTATCGCCTCCGATTGGTCATTTTTCCTTCACAGGTTTGGACTTTTTTTTTTTCCCTATATTTTTGTGTGAAGCTTGTTTCAATCTTTGTGGCTGAGAAGAGATGAAGTGAGGACGTTGGTAAATTTTCATTGTGAGAAAATTTGGGAAATCATATTCACCCAACAAAGTTCAGGGGTGATTCAACATGCTTAAGCTATCAATTAAGGATTAAGATTGATGGATTGATATATTGAATTGTACGAAATTATGCGTAAGTTATCATTCAGATTTTTAGCTCTGCTCATGGTTTCTTATGGCTATAAACTCGAACATTAATCAACTAACTAAGATATAATCGCTTTGATTAAAATCTCGTTTAATAACAATTTCGTATCTAAAAAATTAGAGTTCAAGTCTTCCCTACTAAAATCGTTAAAAATAGTTCTTTGAATGTTAATTTACTATCGTTCTTTAATGTTGGTTTACGAATGGGTAGATATTTTTAGGTAGGGAATTGTGTCATTCTCAATAAAAGTATCTATATTGGGTTTTTGCCTTGTTTCCCAAAGGGGAAAAATTAGGAAAATCAACCAAAGTTGGGTTATATGATCTTCCTCTTCTGTGGACCAAAAATATTTAGTTTAGAACGCAATTTTGAAGGGTATGGGCAAAATCCACGTGGCATTTCCCGGGTCAAATAATATTCAAGCGCTCATCAATCACGTGTTACACGGAGAGTCCAAATCGCAGACGGATTTGGTTCGGGTCGGATCCGCAAGTTTAATCTTCCTCAACGCAAAGGGACCGGCAAAATCTAAAACCGTAGAATTCTGCCTTCCATCGTATATGCTACAACATCTGGATCGTGTTCCGTTCCGATTCATTAACGGCGAAGGGAAGATTTGTTCGTGATTGCTATTTGCGTTTTACCGCCAAATCTTTGTTGCTATCAACGAGTTAGTACCTTTTTGTTTGTTTAGTTGAATTGAATCCCTAGTTCTTTAATTTCTTTCGTTCTGGTTTATTTTGTTTGCTAGAGGAGGCGGGAAACGCCTAATCGTTGACTAAGTCTTGTGATACATTAGCAGGCGTGTGCTTTCGAGAAACAGTCAAGTTTTTTACCACCAGGGACATCAATGCCGCCGTTTCTGTCTACCTCGAAGGTCGTTGAGTCATTGATTTCACGTAGAGGTGGTATCAGACATGCGATTAAATACGCAACGTGCAATGCCGAGCCATGGAAGTATCGGAACGGTCGGCATTTAAGGTGTATTCCCGGTGTTGAGACCTCGTCGACTTATAGACTGTTCGATCAGGATCGTAAGGTTTTTTCCGAGAGCTTCCGTGATATTAGGGCTGTACAATCGAGGCGATTTCTTGGCTGTGGAGACGGGGAAGAGGCCGGCGTTTTATCCAAAATTTATGAGGAGAGGCGCGTAATGGGGTAAACAAATTAATCTTCTTCTGCGATATCAACAGCATGCGGCTTTCAACGTTTTGGTTTGATTAGAGTAAGAGTTAGCTATTGGAGGAAACATCAGTATAGGAATTTGTATTTGTCACAGTGTTGTCCTGCAGTGTTTAGGGGATCGAATTAGCTTTGTTGATAAGGCCTTTTTATTTTCTTTCGCAATTTAGAATGTGAAGCTTTTGAGGAGGTATTTAACTTAGCTTTCTTCCTCTTACGTTGATGCTGGCCAATAAAATCAGATGATCATGAAATTTTATATTTTTTTTTTTTACATTTTGTTGTGTTGCTGAGCCTCATTTCTTATTAGGTATTCTCCGGAACAGTTATGTGACGTAGTTGCAGCTGTAGACTTGTATCATGATTTTGTTCCTTGGTGCCAGCGGTCAGAGGTGCTCAAAAGATATCCCGATGGATCCTTTGATGCTGAACTGGAGATTGGCTTTAAATTTCTAGTTGAGAGTTACATTTCACATGTAGAGATAAACAAACCAAAATCTATAAAGGTACTAAACTTATCCATAACTTATTAATTTCCCATACTGAATTGGTAACTCATTTTGCTAGCTAGTGGTGATATGGATGTGGTATATATTCAGAACCAGATTTAGAGTGTCGGTTTGTTTATGTTTGTGTTACATTGATTGTCCTCGGATGATGTGGTGGATGCTTAAATGGTCCAAGTAGTTTGGAGGTATTAGGTGTAGAAATTTTTTTCCCCTCTTCCAGTATTACTTGGAGGAATTAAACAAGCGTGATTTCATAATATATTCATAACTCGCATTTATCATGTCTTACGATCTTAATAGGGAAGACCAAGCTTTAAGTGGATATGAACTTCAGTACAAATAAAGTGAGCCATGTTGCCGTGCAGGCTGCACGCTTTTGAACATCAACCTTTTAGATCATCCCTTCACATATTTAATTCATATGCCCGATCTTGATTTTGTTCCAAACTTAATTGTATTTGCTTCCATGCATAAGAAGGAAAGTATGTCTGTGTTTCTTTTTAGACACGATAAGGAAAATTTAAATTGTACACAAGGATGAGAAATCAGCAATGCCTGTTGGAAATCGGGGTACATGGATATTAACAAGTGAAGATGGTCTTTACAATGTGTTGGCGACATTTCGTTGGCATTTTGAAGTTGTTGCTGATACATTGGTATATCAAGAATATTCGACACGTCATGAAACAATTACTTATCTGCAATATCTCTTGGTACATGGTCAATTCTTCTTTTTTTTTTTTTTTTTTAAGCTTATGCCACTGGCACTGATATATTGCCAATCAATAGCATTTCGCCAATTTTCTCATAGGCTCTCTTCTAGTTGCAGGCAGCAGTGTGCAATGTTGTCTTTGAAGTGTTTAAGTAGGTAGTGTGCGGGTGCGGCCTATAACCCTGAGAAGCAATGCTTGGTATTGTAAATTGGACTTCGGAAATTGGTTGATAGTCTTTGTTGAATGTGGAAAAAAGAAATATAGAATTTTAGAGGCTGGCTATAAACAAGACTTCACTCACACCATATGAGCAAACACACTCCACCCATTAGACTCTTCATCTCCCTCTTTGGTTTTGTTACTCTCCCTCCCTCCACTCCCACTCCCACTCCCTCTTTTTAACTCTCAGTCTCATCTCTCTTTTCCAAGTCTTTCTCTACATGTCCTAGAGTGCAAGCCAAGCACATGTTCAATTTGTGCAGACACAGCAGTCGAGAGTCTTTAGTGAAAGATTAAAAAATTGCATAGAATTTTAGAGGTTTGTCTATACAAGACAATTTTCTTGCCTTTGCTCACATCACTGCAAGCACACTCCTTTGTTTATAATTATGAATCAATAATGGAAACTCTAAAAGACGCAACGATCGGGATAACAAAATTAACAAGGGAAATGGAAACTCTAATCTCGTTAATTTTGTTATCCTGATCGTTTTTTTAATTATTGAATGATGTTAAAATATATACTTTGTTTATAATTAATGAATCAATAATATTCTCCTTCAATTCTTAATTTTCATCATTGTCTATTCTTTGTATTTATGTGCATATTAGATTAGAAATGTTGATATTGTATTTTTAACGATGATTTAATTGACATGTTTGCCCTTGATTGCCCAAACTATTGATATTTCATAGGCATTGCACTGATTGTCTTGTTTGCTCTTTTCACTTGCAGACTACAGTATCTCAAAGCGCGCTTTTTGACCACTTGATAAATACTTGGGAGTTCAATCCAGGACCAGTTCCAGGGACTTGCAACCTTTACTTTTTAGTAGATTTTAAGTTCCAGTCGCCACTGTATCGACAGGTAGGTAGAGCTTTCTCTCTCCAAGCATCCTTCCAAATTTCAATTATATCATGGACATCGATTAGGAATGCAGACTCCTGTTCATGTAGAAGTCTACCAATGAGTCTCTGACTTCTCACCTTAAAAGGAAGTAATAATATTAATAATGGAACCTTCTTTTCTTTGTGGTTTACCTATGGTAGTATGAGGTTCCTCAAGGCTGGCGCCTTCTATAACTTTGATGAATAGAGGCCGAAATTATATTCCTTAATTTTTGACATCTAAACTTCAAGTGAAAGGCCAGCTATGCCTAAAGCATGCGAATTTATCTAACCTGTTATTCGCTTGGAAGCATAATATTTGAACAATTTTATTGGAGGTCTCATCTCAGTAGAAGCCCGTGGCTGCTTTTTTTAAAAAAATCCTTAATTACTTACTGATCGTGTGGTTTTGAATACTATTTTCTTCTGTAACTGTCAACATAAGTATAGATCAATTATGGTCAACTGATTAACTCATGATACCTCTACCAAAATGTTTGAGGCTGAAATTTCCACCCTTTCGTATGTTCAACTCAATAAATAAATTCAGGATGTGTTTAATATGTTATGTTCTATATTGCCTAGCTGTTTTGTCACCAAATATTCCCATACCGCCTAGAATTATAATATCTCATATAACATTCCTTTTCAGGTGGCTTCAGTGTTCTTTAAGGAGGTCGTCTCAAAACTGGTTGGTTCATTTAATGACCGCTGCCGTTTGATATATGGGCCAGGGGTTGCAGTCCTTGAAAATTCATATAACCAAAGAGCTTAGATTTGTTGAATTTTTCATCAGATGTATCATTTGATTGAGGAGATTTAACGAGAATTGTGTTAGAATGTCAAGACTCCTCATAGAGAGCAGACAGGGGAGTAGGAAAAGTATCATAAATTTGATTGATTTATGCATACCTTGTGGGTAATTTGCGGCTTGCTTAGTTTGCTGCCCATCAAAGGATATCTTAATTATTTGAATGAAATACAAGTCTTCTACGAACACTTTGGCAACATGGAAGACAATTTTATTTTTGAGTGATTTGGTGTTTGGAGCGTGTAATCAATTGGGATCATCATCTCCACCAGTTTTCTTGGTGGCAGCTACTGGAACCCGCATCGGCAATTTCCTCTTTCCTCATCCAAATTGCATTCGAACACTTCAACAAAACTAGAAATCTCAGTGAATTACGCCAACGAAGCCCCGTCTAGGCTCTTCTACCGTGTGGGTGTGGGTTACGACAAGAGAACTTGCCCAAAAAAGCATCCTCTTATTTCTCAAAGCTAAAGTGCCGTACTGATTCGTTCTTAGGTTGGAAATTGTCTCTTACTTCTTGACTAGTCTTTTGGCTGTCGAGCACTCATTCATCATTTCTCTTTACTCTTTCCTTTCGTCAACCCGTTCTCACTATACTTGGTCTCTTTCCTTTCGTCAACCCGTTCTCACTATACTAATCATGTGTCGTGCCGTTCCGCCACAACAAAAAATTGTCTAATACTCAATTGTTGTAGCAAAATGCCACAACAAAAAATGATATGATACTCGATTGTTGTAGTGAAATGCCACAACAAAAAATGATATGATACTCAATTGTTGTAGAAGAGGACGTAAGATCAATCATACTCACACACCCACAAATAGAAATTAAACAAAGAGACAGATTTATTCTTCTCCTACATATATGGGTGATAGTGAATCACTATAATTAAAGTGTATCACACACTCTCGTGCTACACCGTCTCTCGACAAAATTCCTCACAATTTAGGCAAATACAAGATGACAATGAGAGTCTTTGAACAAAGTTCCTCACAATTAATTTTAGGCAAATGCAAAATGACAATACCAAAGTCTCAACAAATTTCCTCCCCCATTATCTTTAGGCAAATACAAAATGACAAAGATCCTCCCCATTATCTTTAGGCAAATATAAAATGACAAGGACACCACATCTACAAATAATGCTAGACAAGTCTTTATTATAGGCATAGCAACAATAATTTTTATAACCAAATAAATGAGAATATATCAATGTTATATACTAAATAGACATAGCAATAATAATTTTCATAACTAAATAAAAGAGTATATATGAACGTACACTAAATAAGAGTTAATAAATGAGAATATGACTGAATTAAATGAAAATTATGAACCAAAATAAATAAGAATATAAAAGGGTTATAACTACAGGAGAGTTTTAATAAAAAATAAAGGAGAATAGTAACCGTCGAACTGATTAACTTACAATACTAAGCATACAAGAAACGCACAAGCGACCGTTGTTCTTGAGCAGCGTTGTAACGACTTGTGACACCAAACGCGCAAACGAAGCTTATAAATGCAGAATTCCCACAGCACATTTCCCCCAACACAATGGGTTTCCTAGCTTCTCTGTGCTTCCTCTGCTACCTCTCTGTTTTCCTCTTCCCATCCCCCTCCTTTTCTTCTACCTTACTGTTTCAGGTACGCATATTCATCAACCAATATTTGCAATTATCATGTAAGACTCACTTTTAAAAAGCTTGAAATTGATGGTGTAATGAAACAGGGCTTCAACTGGGAATCGAGTAGCAAAGGAGGATGGTACAACTCACTGAACAACATAATTCCTGACCTGGTACATGCTAAAGTTACTCATGTCTGGCTTCCTCCACCCTCCCAATCAGCTTCTCCACAAGGCAAGCCTTCTTCCTCTGTTGCCTTTCACTTGAAATCTAAATTTGTATTGCTCAAACCCAAAACCCTCTTACAGGATACTTACCCGGAAGGCTATATGATCTGAATGCATCCAAATACGGAACCCAGAATGAACTCAAGTCCCTCATCGCCGCCCTCCACAATAATGGAATCAAAGCCGTAGCCGACATAGTGATCAACCACAGAACAGCAGATAAACAGGACGAGAGAGGAATTTGGTGCATTTTTGAGGGGGGAACTCCAGATAGCCGCCTTGATTGGGGCCCTTCCTTCATTTGCAGCGATGACACTGAATATTCCGACGGAAAGGGCAATCCAGACAGTGGGGAACCCTATTCAGCAGCACCTGATATCGACCATCTCAACCCACAGGTTCAGAATGAATTATCAGAATGGATGAGATGGTTGAAAACAGAAATAGGGTTCGATGGATGGAGATTCGACTTTGTAAAGGGCTATGCACCAAAAATTACAAAACTCTACATGGATCAAACCTCGCCAGATTTTGCAGTCGGTGAGAAATGGGATTCACTTTCATCTGGACCGGACGGGAAGCCCGACCCAAACCAAGACGGACATCGCGAAGCTCTTGCAAACTGGGTTAGGGATTCGGGCGATACTGTCACAGCGTTTGATTTCACAACCAAAGGTATTCTTCAAGCTGCCGTTCAGGGGGAGCTATGGAGGTTGAAGGATTCTAACGGGAAGCCGCCGGGATTCATCGGAATCAAGCCGGAAAGTGCCGTAACCTTCATCGACAACCACGACACTGGTTCGACGCAAAAACTCTGGCCGTTCCCTTCCGATAAAGTGATTCAGGGATATGCATACATTCTCACGCATCCTGGAACGCCCTCCATTGTAATCCATTCAACAATACGGTTTAGGTTTTTGAGTTTCGAAACTTAATTCCTGTAATTCACGTAGTGTAGGCTTGAACATTTGTTTGTTTGTTGCAGTTCTACGACCATTTCGTTGAATGGGGATTGAAGGAGGAGCTAATCAAATTGAGCGCAATCAGGGCAAGGAATGGGATTGGGGAAAGGAGCACGGTGAATATTATGGCTTCTGACGGCGATCTATACGTTGCTGGCATTGATGGGAAAATTATAATGAAGATCGGACCGAACACCAATCTTGGAAATCTGGTTCCGTCGGATTATGAGCTTGCCGCTTCTGGAATGCAGTATGCTGTCTGGGAGAAAAAGAAATGAATCCTTGAATATCCGCCATTGATGAAATAATTCCCATCTAGAGCTCCATTTCCGTTTTCAGAAAAGTTTCGGAGAAGATCATCTATAACTTTCATTTGATCTATCCACTCTTAAGAGTGTATTAAATTTCTGTTTTAAACTTGAAAAGATTAATGAAGTTAATATTTTATTACATAAGCTTCCTCGAATTCCCAATTCGTCCAATCCACTCGCCCAATAAAACACCACAGAACACTACTAACGCAGTTTATAATATGGGCCGACATTTGGGCCCAATGTAAAGCCCAATAAATGAAAGCCCACATTGATTCCACGAGTTTTCACCGGCTAAGCAAGCACGTAGATTTTCATTTCGGTAGTGATTTTAAAATTCCGGCTATAATTAATGAACGAAATTACAAGATGCCCTCAATCTTTTATTTTTCTCTTTATTTATTTATTTATTTTCTTCCTACCAAATTCTTGTTATTTTTTTACCGTAAATTGGATTTCACAATTTCACGGAGCTTTCAGATAAGCCCAAGGCAACCGGTTATTGGCGGTAACAAGTGACCGGTTTTGTCGTCTTTTTGAATAAGGAGCCCTAGAAAGGATCACTACAGACCGAAACGTTCCAGATTTTCAAATTTCCAAATTTCCAAATTGGCGCCTCCTCGTTTCTACGTCTCCATCTGCCCTCTGGATTCCGCATCATCCTCGATTTGATTCGATCTGCATTTCTGTAATTCAAACTCGAAGGTATTGATAATGGGAGCATCTCACAGTCGCGAGGGTTTGGAACTGTCGGATTCTGATCGTGAAGATGGAAACGAGGTAACGAATGAAGAGGAAGAATACGAGGATGTTGAAGAGGAGCACCAAAGATCTTCAGAACGACGACCGAAAACGCCATCGTCAGTGGACGAGGTCGACGCGAAACTCAGGGCTCTTAAGCTCAAGTACGGATCGTCTCAGAAGCCAAGCCTGAAGAATGCAGTGAAGCTTTATCTCCATATTAATGGCAATACTCCTAAGGCGAAGTGGGTTGTCTCCGAAAAACTCGCTTCTTACTCTTTTCTCAAGTCCTGCAGAACTGGTGAGTGTGGCAACGATGAGGAAGAGGAGGAAGATGACGATGAAGAGGAAGAGGAGGGAGGGCAAGATGACTCTTGGTGGTTTTTGAAGGTTGGATCGAAAATTAGAGTGAGAGTATCGTCTGAAATGCAATTGAAAACATTCGGAGACCAGCGCCGCGTGGACTTCGTCGCGCAGGGTGTCTGGGCATTGAAATTTTTCAGCAACGAAGATTATAAGATTTTTGTGGAAAAGTTTCAGGGGTGTTTATTCGAGAATACGTATGGTCTTGAGGCTACGGAGGTAAATAAAATGAAGGTTTATGGGAAGGACTTTATTGGTTGGGCGAACCCTCAAGCGGCGGATGATTCAATGTGGGAAGATGCGGAGGAGAGTTTCTCAAAAAGTCCGAATTCGGCTACGCCTGCCAGGGCAAACGATTTAATGGAGGAGTTTGAGGAAGCTGCTGATGGTGGGATTAAGAGTTTAGCTTTAGGGGCATTAGACAACAGTTTCTTGGTCGGTGATTCAGGAATTCAAGTCGTCAAGAACTTCTCTCATGGAATTCAGGGAAAGGGTATTTATGTGAATATTGATCATGGAAATCGGGGTCCTCGGGAAGGTGGTTCTAGTTTGGTCTACTCAACGCCGAAGAAGGCTCTTCTAATGAAGGCTGAGACCAATATGCTTTTGATGAGTCCAATGAACGAGGGGAAGCCTCATACTTCTGGACTTCATCAGCTTGACATTGAAACAGGGAAAGTTGTTACTGAGTGGAAGTTCGGGAAGGATGGGGTTGATATTTCAATGAGGGATATTACTAATGATTCTAAAGGTGCTCAGTTGGATCCGTCGGGTTCCACATTTTTGGGTTTGGATGACAACAGGCTTTGCAGATGGGATATGCGAGACAGGAAAGGAATGGTTCAAAATCTTGCTAATGCTAGTACTCCTGTCTTAAATTGGGCTCAAGGGCATCAGTTTTCTAGAGGCACCAACTTCCAGTGCTTTGCAACCACCGGCGATGGCTCAATCGTTGTTGGGTCGCTTGATGGAAAGATCAGGTTGTATTCTATCAATTCAATGAGACAAGCAAAAACAGCTTTTCCAGGCCTTGGTTCACCCATTACACATGTAGATGTTACCTATGACGGGCGGTGGATTTTGGGAACAACTAATTCCTATCTTATTCTTATTTGCACTCTCTTTACCGATAAGGATGGGAAAACGAAGACTGGATTTTCTGGTCGAATGGGGAATAGGATTTCAGCTCCAAGGTTGTTGAAACTGACTCCTCTGGATTCGCATTTGGCTGGAGCAGACAAGAAGTTTCGAAATGCTCAATTCTCATGGGTATGTTTGTTTCTCGTGTTCTCAATTGTTCCAACTCTTAATTTTCTTGACCTATATGCGTCGCATGTCCTCTTACTAGAACATACCCGTTTTAATGATTTTATCACTGTGATAGGGTTTTTTTTCTTTAATCTTTTGGGAATTTTTTTACATTTAAATATGCCATTGAAAATTCAACTCAACAAGCAGAAGGGTAGGAAGATGAACGTTTCATTCTCTAGCTGCTGCATGAAGGCATGAGCAATTACTAGTTCATCAGCTTGACATTGGAATTTAGTTTTGTTTGAACGTCATGCTGCATTTTGGAAAAGGCTTATTCAAATTTTTTTAATTATCAGCTTCAAAAACAATAACGCGTCACCATTTTTCTCTGTTTGTGTTTTTGTTCCTTTCATTTTTTGGGTCTTTTACTTTGTCCCCTGTTTGTTCTTCTTGATCAATAGGTTCTCCGTCTGTTTCTTCTTTGTTCATGCAATGTTGTCATACTTAACAAACGATATTTTTTGAGATCATAAATCTTCCATAGATCAATTGAAGAAAAGAAGATAAAGCCATATGAATCATTGCTAACATTTCATAATTTAAATAGCCAGAGATACATGAGCAATTTGTCTTAATACTAGTGGAATTGAGTATCACTGAAGCTGAAAAGCTATGACTGCTCATAGTGCAAAAACATATAGGCAATTGGAATTTAAAAGCCTATATAGATTACAATTAGCATTTGCATATAAATTTCCTTCCATATCAGGAGGACCTACTGTTGACTCTGGCAAATCGGATGTCGACGAAAAAATTGGCCGAAGGTTTCTTCGAAGGAAAAATTAGCGGAAGTAAAAGGAGAGAGAGAGAGAGATTCGCTGGTAATGCTGAAGACTCGATATCTTTATTTTACATCCGTTGAATGGTTTAAATAATAAATCTAATTACAAAAATAGAAAAACTAAATATACAAAAATAGAATAAGTGGACGAAGACTCCGCCACTCTGCCAAAACAATGGCCCCTAGAATCACGCTCCTCCATTCGCGTGAACTCATATGTTTTGACAAACCTAACTAAATAAGGCAGAGCTTTTATTTAACAATCTCCTCCTAAAAGCTGTACCTTATTATTTGAACTCCGATCTTTGAGCGTAGTTCTTCAAATTTCACCCGCGCCAGGGATTTGGTGAAAATGTCTCCAAGTTGTTCCTCTGTTCGGATGAAATCAATTTTGATGAGCCCTCGATCTGCACATTCTCGAATGTAGTGGAATCTGGTTTCTATGTGCTTGCTCCGGTCGTGCAAAACTGGATTTTTGATCAGGGAGATCGTAGCTTTGTTGTCTACGTATAGCATTGGTGAATCGCTTTCTCTCCCGATGAGTTCTTCCATTAGTCGTGCAAGCCAGATCCCTTGAGTTGCTGCCATCGAAGCGGCGATGTATTCTGCTTCGCAGGAAGACAAAGCAACTACCTTCTGTTTTGTTGATTGCCAGCAGATCGCGCCGCCTGAGAGAAAGTAGATCATTCCGCTGGTGCTCTTACGATCATCAACGTCACCGGCCATGTCACTATCGCTGTAGCCGACCAGTTTGAGTTTCTCCTTTTCGCTCCCAGCGCAGTATCTTACGCCCCAGCCTCTGGTTCCGGCTACATAGCGCAGGATGCGCTTGACAGCCACTAGATGCTCCTCCCTAGGTGCTTCCATAAACCTGCTCACATATCCAACAGAATAAGCAAGATCAGGACGAGAGTTTACCAGATAGCGCAGACTCCCGACAATGCTGCGGTAATTGGTGGAGTCGACTGTCGTCGTAGTGCCGGCCTTCCTTAGTTGAAGTCGGGCCTCCATTGGCGTCCTGGTAGGATTACTGTCCACAAGCCCAGTTGTGTCCAGCAGCTTCCTCGCGTATGCACTTTGGCAGATGGAGATGCCGGAAGAGTTCTGTTGCACTTCGATGCCGAGGTAGTAGCTGAGCACACCGAGATCGCTCATCTCGAAGTTTTTCGACATCTCCTTCTTGAACCTTCCGAGGACTCCCACGTCGCCTCCAGTGATTATGAGGTCGTCGACGTACACTCCCACGATCAGTCGCTTTTTGCCGTGGCCGTACGTGTACATGCCATGCTCAGAGGCACAACGTTTGAAATTCAGTGACAGTAGGGTACTGTCGAGCTTCGCGTTCCAGGCTCGTGGGGCTTGTCGAAGCCCGTAGAGTGCTTTGTGCAGGCGCAGTACCTTATTAGGGTTGTCGTTATCCAGGAAGCCAGGTGGTTGTCGAACATAGACGGTCTCCTTCAACTCTCCGTTAAGGAAAGCAGACTTTACGTCCATATGGTGAACCTCCCAAGAGTGATGTGCTGCAATTGCCAGCAGGAAACGAACGGATTCTAACCTTGCTACTGGCGCAAATACCTCTTCGAAATCCACTCCTTGCTTCTGGACGTAGCCCTTCGCCACCAGACGAGCCTTGTGCTTCACAACTTCTCCTTTTTCGTTGCGCTTCAGTTTGAAGACCCATTTGAGCCCTATGGCTCGGTGTCCCGGTGGCATATCCTCCAGACTCCACGTCTGGTTCTCAGTGATGGATGTCATCTCCTCCTGCATTGCCTTCCGCCAGCACGGGTTCTTTTCTGCTTCGGCGAAGGTGTTTGGTTCATCTGCACTGACGGCATGTAGTTCGGCCACTTCCTCGAGCTCGCGCGCTGCTAGTCCAGGTGGTTCACCTCCTCCCACTAGGTCATCCATCCTCCGGTACCTAGCCTCCAGATCAGTATCGT